CTGGACCTGCCATTCTGTGTTCGTCTGTTTCTCCTTCCTGTCCTCTCCAGCCGGTCGAAGCAGATGGCGCTCGTCCTGAGCCTGGTTCTGCTGGAAGTGTCTTCCTGCTAAAATGAGTTTTTCCTTTCCACTGTCTCCTTTGTGCTTGCTCAGGATGGGAGACTGACCAAGTCAAAATTCAACTCAGTCTGCTGCTTCTTGAGAAGATGGCTTCTAGTTGTCTTTTATAAAATGTCTGTGAATGTCTCTGTGCTTCTTCTGGGACTTGGACTGAACTGATTTCAAATGTGTTTTTATTCAATGTGTGACCGTATCTAGTTTCACTTGTCTGCCTCCTCTGCTTCTCTCAAAGATCCTTCTCCAAAACCATCCAAAAACCTCCTCCCCGTCCTTCCTCCCTCTGCCACCGCCTCCTCCTCCTCTCGGCGCTCCTCTGGGAGGAACCAGGGCGTCCACGAGATTTCGGCCTGCGAGCATCTGACTGTAGAACTCGTTCGACATGAAGACAGCTGGCCCTTCATGAAGCTGGTGTCCAAGACTCAGGTACCGCCAAAGCCTGAATGACCCCTGACCTTTTCATAAGCAGGTCAGAGACTTCAGAGGTTCAGCCGTCGAGTTGTTTAAAAAAAGTCAAATGCTTTAATGTTTGTTTCACTTTCTACAGACTTTGCTCATCAGGAAGTCACTTCCTGTTTATAAATCTTCTCTAACAAGGTTCAGTCAGGTCCTCTGGACGGATTCTTGGTGTTGAAATGTTTCGTCTTTTCTCCCAAAGACTTGTTCAGTGTGAGGAGCTGCAGCAAACTCAGTCTTATAAGCAGCATCTTCTCATTGTGGGTCAAGGAGCAGCTCCTCAGGCTGAAGAAGTCTTTACAGGTCACGAACATGAAGTTCTGTCCTGATGGTCTCTGAATCTTCTGCTGCTGGTGGTTCTCTTTTGATTTGACCTGTTTACTGGTCTGTGGATCTGCGTGCGAGTCCTTGACCCGGTCTCTGTCCCCTCAGGTTCCTGACTACTATGACATCATAAAGCAGCCGATGGCTCTGAGCACCATCAGAGAGAAGGTGAACAGCTGTGAATACCAGAGCGTAGGTGAGCAACACACCTTTAAACTCCGGGGGGAGGGGGGAGCCTGTTTAATCTGGTGGGACAAGTCCTGAAGGTGGGTCAAGTTCAGTTCCTGGGGTCAACTAGCAGAAGCCAGAGGTGGAGAAGAGGGAGCAGCAGAGTGAAGCAGACAAGAGGGTGGTGGGGGTTCATGGGACCATAGTGAGACCTGATGTGTTTGGAGACAGCAGGAAGGTCTGGAAGCTGCAGAGATGAAGATAAACCGGGTCCAAAATGGACAGGGTTAGAACAGAGTCCTCCAGAGGTTTGACATCATGGTGGTAAGATCTGACCAAGTTTGAACAACGTTCCAGAGATGAGGCCTCCAGGAGGTCAGAGGAGAGGAACAATGTTCCTGCGTGCTCAGTTTATTGAATAAACTCAGTCTGGAGTGTTCTGAAGGTCTAGTCCTGTAGATGAACTGCAGAAGATATAAATGTTCCATCTCATCAGATCTTTAACCCCCCCCTGATGTCCGCAGGTGAGTTCATCTCCGACGTGGAGCTCATGTTCTCCAACTGTCTTCAGTATAATCCTCGTAACACTAACGAGGCCAGAGCCGGACTTCGCCTGCAGCAGTTCTTCCACGCCGAGCTCCGCCGGCTCGGCCTGTCGGAACGAGACTCCGCCCCTCCCGCCAAACGCTGCCGACAGTAACCGCACGGCGGTTTCACCCTGGTGATTGGGTGCTGCTGGGGGTCAAAGGTCATGGGCCAAACGATAGACTGTTCGAGAAAACCCGGACCTACTGAAGAATCTGTGGAAGAGGCTCTTGATGTTCGCTCAGGGAGAAAAAGTTTTATTTTTAGGGTTAGCGACTCCGCCCTTCAAATTAAAAGCATCAGAAACGTCACCTGGATCCAAAAAGTCCCATGTCTTTCTGTGAGAAGACCTTTTTTTTTTTTTTATTTAGAGCTTTAATTTCAAATGTGCGGGCAGGTTCTGATCCAAAGTCTGATCCTGTGAGCACAGACCTGACCTGCTGAGCAGTTCCAGACCTTTGATGCTGTGAACTTTCTTCTGGTCCCCATCACTGTGAGAAAACAGAAAAAGTGCTTCCTTCAGGATGGACACGCCTGTTTCAGGTGAATATTTGTAATAAAAGCGTTATTCCTGAAACCTTTAATCCCCGTTTGTTCAGATTAAAGGTTAATAATCTGGTTCATATTGAAATAATCTGCAGATTAGAGTTAATTTCTTGTTAAACCTTGGAGCTGCTGCAGTCTGTTTTGGGTGGGGGGGGTTTCTGCTGATGTTTCTGATGGATGTTTGCTGCAGACACTACACTGGACCTGCTGCAGCCCTCCGTCACCCCCACCTCTTTCTTTGGTATTTATTTAGTTGAAACCTGTTAATTTATGAGCGGTAGCTGCCTCGACGTCCCGTCAATCTAAAGTTCAAATAAAGTTGTTTTTTTTAATGACTGCATCTTCTCTGAGCTCGTGCTTCAAACCTTTGGTTGTCTGAGCGTCTTTATGTTCCTCGTCCTGCTGAACGGTCAAGAACAACAGAACTACCGTATTTTTCGCCCTATAAATCGCTGTTTTTTTTGCATAATTTTCATGGATTTTTCCACTTAGACATTTTTGGACTGATGCGACTTATAGGGCGTTGCGAAATGTACGGCGGAAAATATGGTACTGTCGTATTGGCATGTAAAATGATTCAGTCTCCTCCAGAAGTTCTGGAACAGCAAGGACAGTTCCTTTATGTTTGTTCACTGAGGACATTTGGGTTTGAGATCAAAAGATGAGTACGAGACAAGAGTTCAGACGTTGAGCTTATTTTTCCTGGTATTTACATTTTGATGTACAACTCAGACTCAGTTTACGTTCCTACCATCACCCATGGCCACGAACTGTGTAGTGACCAAAAGAACGCGACGCAGTAGTCCCTCGATACTTCGCGATTCGACTTTCATGGTTTTTAAACTTAAGAGACACACGATTGTTGACTTTAATATTACTCACGTGGTTGAGACGGTACGGGATAAAAAGTTAACGGGAGCGGGAACCAACAAATGGGACAAAAAAACAAATACTTCAGACAGGCGCCGCCATTTTGTAGTTTTCTTTCAGTAAGCCTACACTAACGCATGTCAAAAGAACTACGCGGCCCAGAAGCCAACAGTGTTTCCTGCCGTTGCTTTCTGCCAAAATTCAAAGAACAGCAATGGAGGCAGCGAACACTAGTGGAGAAACCGATGTGGTGAAAATAGTTTAGCAACGCAAAGTCAGAAGTAACGATCTTTCTATGAAGCTCACAGAATTGACAGGAAAGACAAATAATCCTGCAGCTGAACTCATCCTTCAAGTAGTATCTTCACTGGTGAGTACCCGTATAATATTTTACTGTACAGTACATATACGTATGTTGTTAAAATTATGTAGGTTTAAGAGTTTAGAACATTGTTAAGAGTGGGAAGAAGCTTTAAAATATTAATGTCCATCCATCCATTTTCTTCTGCGTATCCGGGGTCGGGTCGCGGGGGTAGCAGCCTAAGTAGGCAGGCCCAGACTTCCCTCTCCACAGCCACTTGGTCTAGCTCCTCCGGGGGAATCCCGAGATGTTCCCAGGCCAGCCGAGAAACGTAGTCCCTCCAGCGTGTCCTGGGTCTTCCTCTGGGTCTCCTCCCGGTGGGACGTGTCCGGAACACCTCACGAGGGAGGCGTCCAGGAGGCATCCTTAACAGATGCCCGAGTCACCTCAACTGGCTCCTCTCGACATGGAGAAGCAGCGGCTCTACTCTGAGTCTCTCCCGGTTGATCGAGCTTCTCACCCTATCTCTAAGGGAGAGCCCAGACACCCTGCGGAGAAAACTCATTTTAGCCGCTTGTATCTGAGATCTCGTTCTTTCGGTCACAACCCAAAGCTCGTGACCATAGATGAGGGTAGGAACGTAGATCAATTGGTAAATTGAGAGCTTTGCCTTTTGACTCAGTTCTCTCTTCACCACGACAGACCTGTACAGCGCCCGCTTCACTGCAGACGCTGCACCTATCCGCCTATCGATCTCACGCTCCATTTTTCCATCATTCGTGAACAAGACCCCAAGATACTTGAACTCCTCCACTTTTGGCAGGACCTCCTCCCCGACCCAGAGAGGGCACTCTACCCTTTTCCAGCTCAAGACCATGGCCTCGGATTTGGAGGAACTGATCTTCATCACGGCCGTGTCACACTCTGCTGCGAACCGCTCCAGCGAGCGCTGTAGATCATGATCTCATGAAGCCAACAGGACCACATCATCTGCAAAAAGCAGAGACGCAATCCTAAGGCCACCAAAATGGATCCCCTCAACACCTTGGCTGCGCCTAGAAATTGTCCATAAAAGTTATGAACAGAATCTGTGACAAAATATAAATACTAAAGTAAATATAACGTCCCAGATTTTCACCTATTGCAGGGGTGTCTGTAATGTAACCCCCACGATAAGTGAGAGACGTCTGTACAAGTTGAAATGAGTTTCCTCTGCAGGGTAGCTGGACTCTCCCTTTGTCTCCCAGTCCTTCAACCTGTGCTGCACCTCTGATGATCTCATTCCTGATCTTATCCACTTCGTTTAATGTTTCAACAACCTTACAGGCAACAAACACCTGGTCAACAACAAACACCCGCTGATCACTTGAACAATGGGTGGGTTCAAAGAAAGAACGATAAGCCCCGAGTTATACATCCATCCATCATCTTGAGCAGGGAGGTCCAGACATCTCTTTTCACAGTCACCTCTTCCAGCTTTTCTGGGAGGACTCCAAGGTGTTTCCAGACCAACAGAGACGTAGTCTCTCCAGCGTATCCTGGGTCTTCCCCGTCAGACATGCCTGAACCACCTCGACTAGCTCCTCTCAACGTGGAGGAGCAACGGTTCTACTCAGTCTCTCATGATAACTGAACTTCTCACACTGTAAGTTAGAGAGACCAGACTGAGATGGTTTGGACATGTCCAGAGGAGGGACAGTGGGTATACTGGTAGAAGGATGTTAGAAATGCAGCTTCCTGGAAAAAGACAAAGAGCAGATGTATGGATGGAGTTAGAGAGGACATGGAGGTAGTGGAGG